TTATAATGTTAACCCAATAACCCCAAATACGTAATTTAAAGTGTTTCATGTGACATATTCACAAGTTAAAAGGCTATTGCCTTTGGTATAAAACACTAGTTATTTCTCTCAGAACAATCTACATACAACTTTTGTTACAGTAAGTATTATATTATATTTGACTTTAGCACTCAACTATTCACACTGAACAAGGCAACGTTCTACTTTATGACTCCAATCCATACATTAGGTAAAGTCCACATTGATATGCGAATAACGATGGCTTTTGTCTGTTACATTTCTTTCAAATTAAAAATAGGACATAAGACCTATCAACATACAAAGAAAAGATTAAGAAAATTTAAACACTTGATGATTACTAATGTCAAACTTTTCTAGTATATCCATTTTCAGGTGATGAGATTAAGTCGCCTTCAAGCATCAACTAGTGAAATAGTGTGTACAGTCTACGTAGCAACACTGTGTGGTGACCTCTATCGCCTCTTCGCTGATTTATGAACATATTCCCTTTCTTTGTCGTTTGGTCTTTAAATTCACCGTCGCATCAGGCACGTGTGAAATATCAAGTTGACCCGAACCGTTAAGGAATGTTAATAGCACTTGTAGTTGTATTGTTTACATGTACAGTTTTTAGATAGTGTTCATGTACATAAATGTCTTATATTGTTGTTGTTTTGTGTACATGTACAGTTTTTAAAAAGTGTACATGTACACAAATGTCTTATATTGTAGTTGTTTTGTGTCGGCTGCTATCGGCCATCGTAAGTTGTAGCTATATTACGTATTTTCACAACACCGACGATTTTCTGTCACAAGTGCATAAGCTACATGTATGTTACGTATTTTTACATTAATGTCAATTTTCTGTCACAAGTGCATAGCTATATTACGTATCTTCACAACACCGACGATTTTCTGTCACAAGTGCATACAGTTGTAGCTTTATTACGTGTTTTCACAACACCGACGATTTTCTGTCACAAGTGCATAGCTATATTACATATTTTTCACAACACCGACGATTTTCTGTCACAAGTGCATAGCTATATTACGTATTTTCACAACACCGACGATTTTCTGTCACAAGTGCATA